AAGAAACTCTGTTGTATGTAGAGCACCGTTATGTCTGCTCAGAGTGCAGCCAGCAGTTTAGTTCCTTAGAGGATGCTTTGGTGCACCAGCAGAGCCACATGTGCTCCCAGGAGCAGCAGTATGAAGTAGTCGGGTTGGCAGAAGCCGGGTTGATGGCAGGTGGCGAGACTGGTCTCTATCAAGCAGTGACTGTGCAGGAAAGCCAGTACCAGTGTTTGGAGTGTGGACAGATTCTCATGTCTCCAAGTCAGTTGCTTGAACATCAGGAGATGCACTTGAAGATGGTTACTCATGAACCAGAACCATTGGTCAAGCCTCTGAGTTCCAGTCAAATACACTACGAGTGTATAGAATGCAAAGCCATGTTTACCAGTCAGGATGTGTGGCTTGCCCATCGTCAGACCCACCGCAAACCACCAGAACCAGTAGCTGCTGCTCCTCCTCCTCCTCCACCACCACCACCACCTCCTCCTCCTCTTCAGCGCCAGGCCCTTGTAAACCTGGAACATTCCTACCGTAAGCCAGAGGAAGGAGGGGATTCCTGTGGAACTGTGCAGTTATTGCTCTACGAGTGTGGCGAATGTTTCCAGCTGTTCCAGTCAACCACAGACTTCCTAGAGCATCAGGCCTCACATCAAGTGATCCAGCCAACCCCAGGGGCACAGATTAGGGAGTTGCCTGCTTCTTGCCCTGCAGAGCCAAAAGAGTTATTGCCGCCAAATTTAATGGGCATACAAAACGGGGCTGTGCCGGCACAAATCCAGACTAGCGTCACAGCCACAGATCACAGTTACGAACTGAAAAACAACCCCGGGGAGCAGCCACCCCGTAAAGCGAAGCAGGCCGTGAAGGAGTATTTGTGCACCGAGTGTGACCAGCTCTTCCCATCATCCCATAAGCTGCAGCTGCACATGAGGAGTCACCGGCAGGGTGCCTTCAAATGCCCACTTTGTAGTAAGGTGCTGCCATCTCCAGCTGCTCTCGAGAAACATCGGGAGGAGCACAGTGGCGAGTCCCGCTTCCTCTGTGTGGAATGCGGCTTGGGCTTTGGCACTGAGGCGGTGCTGCTGTCCCATCGGCGCACCCATTCGTCAAACCCCATGTACCGCTGCACCTGTGGCAAGAGTTTTATCAACATGACCAAGTTTCTCTATCATCGGCGCTCCCACAGCGCCAATTCAGCACAGATCTACGAATTGCCTTCCTCTCCCCCTGAGGACCAGCCCCTCGAGGAAGAGCCCCCGGAAGCCTCAGAGCAACCGGAAGAAAAGCAAGAAATTGTCCCTCTGGCCCTCATTTGTTCTGTGGGCAGCAGCGTCGCCTCTGTGGAGGGCGGCGCCCAGGAGAAAAAACCGGTGGAGTTTCAGTGCCAGATATGTAGCAAGGCCTTTCCCAAGCAGACCCAGCTGTCGCGCCATCAGCGCTTTGCCCACAAGATGGAGCGCCGCCACAAATGCTTGACGTGCGGCAAGATGTTCAAGAAGAAGTCCCACATGCGCAACCACCTCTTGACGCACACAGGGGAAAGGCCGTACCACTGCAAGGAGTGCGGCAAAAGCTTCAATTCCCCGGCCAATTTGCAGCGCCACCGCTTGACGCACACGGGCGAGCGTCCCTACCGCTGTGACATCTGCCAAAAGTGCTTCACACAGTCGTCCACGCTGCAGCAGCACCTCCTGGTGCATAGTCGCCACTATCCTTACAAATGCCAGGAATGCGGCAGTGTATTCCACCGGCCTTACCGCCTGCTTATGCACCGCTATCACCACACCGGGGAGTATCCCTACAAGTGCCAGACCTGCGGCCGTTCTTTCTTGCTTCGCCGTCTGCTGGAGGTTCACCAGTTGAGTCACACTGGCCAGCAGCCGCATCGCTGCACCTCCGGCTGCGGGGCCGCCTTTGTCACAGCCGAGCAGCTGAAGGAACACAAGTGTGGCAAGATGAGTCGCCACTTCGAGTGTTCCGTGTGCGGCAAGAAGGTTGGCTCAACGGTGCAGCTGAGGGCCCACGAACGGCTGCACGGGGACATCCAGATCCCTGAAGGGGGGGTCGAGGAGGAACTGCCGGTTCTGGAACCACCTCCACCCCGTCCCCGTCGCCCCGCCTGCCCAAAGGCCTTTGAGTGCAGTGACTGCAAGAAATTGTTCAGCACAGAGACGTCCCTGCAGGTCCACCGCCGCATCCATACCGGGGAGCGTCCCTACCCTTGCCCGGATTGCGGGAAGGCCTTCCGGCAGTCCACCCATCTCAAGGATCATCGGCGCTTGCACACCGGGGAGAAGCCCTTTAAATGTGAAGAGTGTGGGAAGGCCTTTACGATCGCGGTGCGGTTGGCCGAGCACAAGCGCATCCACACGGGGGAACGCCCCTACCACTGCGATGCTTGCGGGAAGGCCTACCGCTCCTTCTCCAACCTCTGGAAGCATCGTAAAATGCACCAGCAGCAGCGGCTGCTGCACGAGCAGGAAGTCATGGCCGAGGCCATGGCTGCCGCCGCAGCCGCCGCAGCTGCATCAGCAACATCCTCAGCCTCGGTGGTCTCGAGCGAACCCGTCTATGGCAACACGGTGGCCATTATGGAAACCATCCCCGTAGTGGAGACCATTGAGATCTACCCAACGGATGGAGGTGTTCACTTTGAGAATATCCAGGTGGAAAATGTCCAGATTGGGGGCGTTTGAGTCAGGCTGGGGGGAGTGAAGAGGGGCAGCTGGTCTCTTGTGGTAGACTGGGAGCTCCTGCTCTTTGGCTCCCCCTTCGCAGGCTCTGGTGTTTGCCGAAACGGTTCCTCCTCCTCCTCCTCCTCACTTCTGCTGCTCTCTGCATCCCTGGAATGAGATCGCATCCTTTTATTTTCCCACCTGTTCTGTAAATGAGCCAGGCGTCGCTTTGCCCCACCCACTTCCCACTCAGATAGCCGTACTGATGGCTGGGCACACTCCATGCCATCCTGTGGTCTGATTCTCCCCTTCCCTTCTGGTTGGTATTGGCCTGTTTTTTCTCCCTTCTCAGCAGAACGAACCGATTGCCCCTTCCAACTTGAGCAACCTTTGGCCCTAGCAATGCCCATGGCAACCTTCTCTACAGTTGAGTCCTTCTAATGCTATTTTTTGGGGTGTTAGGTGGGTGGGTGGGGGTGTTGTTGTTGATCTTCTTCTTGCTTGGGACTGAACTGGGTTGTAAATACCTCTTGAATCTGCTCTGTTCACTATTGAACTGTTCACTATCTGTTTTGCTGTTGGTTTCCTGCTCTCAAAGATATCCTTCATGATCCATGATATGAATTATTTTAATTATTTTGTTTCTTGCTAACTGAGCTCATTCCCATGGCTGTGGGAGCATTTTGTTATTTCATACGAAAATAAAATAGAAATGAAAGCACTTGTGATTTTTTCCCCCCTCCAATTGAGCACTGTATAGGTGTTTCTTTTCCCGGTTTGGGAAGAAGATCCCGGTGTGAGTGAAATGTGGTAATGAAGAACAAATAAGGTTGAATATAAAAAGAAACTACCAACCTTTGAGTTAATTTGGTAATCATCTATGTTAACTGATCACCTAAATTTTCCCAGCCACATATATTTATCTGATTAGTTACTTGATGAGAAATGCTTCATTAAATAGGGAAGTGTGCTTGATTAACTGATTATTTTAAACGCATAGCATTTTGAAAAACACTTCCCTCCACCTTACTCTTGAAAGAGAGTGCCTGTCATAACATTTATTTAAACAGGAAGAAATCCTTGGTTGAGATTAATCAAATAAAAGATTTCCAGCTGCAGAAATTTCATTCAGCCCTAATATACGTTTTTTTAAAATATATATATATAACAATAAACAAAAACTGTCATTAACTCTGAGAAGGAAATAATAGAGTTAGGGTTAACACTAAAGTGTGTCACAAAATTTTGAATGAAACAATCTATGCCCCCCCCCCAACTTTCCTGATATAATGGGCTCAAATGTTAATTAGCTAGCCAGAAAGTCTTGGCTTTAACAGAAAGTACAGAGGCATGACAAATGTAAAAGATATGTCTAGTTGTGAAGGTTTTTTTTTTAAGAGTGGTAAATTTTTTGTTGTGAATGCACCTTGAAGGGCCTTCCTTAGTTATTTGGGGAGGAGGGCAGTTTGGTATAACGTCCACTAGGTGGGCCTGTAGGCCAGAATTCTCTCCTTGAATTTGACTAAGAAATGGTTGGGCCCAGCAATCTGCTTCCAATATTAGTCCGCCTGAGTGGCCCAGAAAAGATTAAAAGCAGCACAGGCATGGCCAGGTGTCTTTTCCCAATGGCACGAACTTTGAATGTGGGAATTTCATTTGGAATATAATTACCGTTCATGCTATTTATTGTCCCACTGAAAATTCCAACAGCATAACCATTCCTAAAGAAAATGGAAAGGATAGGGGCCCTGGTTGAAATGCGATACAGAGAGAATGTTTAAATTAGAAATGCTCAGCCATACTTCAAGTAAGATGAAATGGACCCTGAGAGGCTAAATAAAAGTCCAAAATACCACCAGAAACCTGTTTTTTTTTACAACCTAATATTTTTGGGAGAATTGATCTAGGTTGCAAAGCAATTTTGGTTACTGTCAGTTAAATCCCGGCTCCCTTTCTCCAATTTTCCCTCTTCTAATCTAGATTTCCAGTCTTACCATTCCTCCTGCGTCTCACTACGGAAGCAAAACAAATACCAGCTGCAGTTCCTTTAACAGAACAACAGAGTTGGAGGGGATCTTGGAGGTCTTCTAGTTCAACCCCCTGCTCAAACAGGAACATCTATACCAGGGGTCAGCAACCTGTGGCTCTGGAGCCGCATGTGGCTCTTTCATCCCTCTGCTGCGTCTCCCTGTCGCCGGTTGGCTCCACAATTCATAGGGCTTTCGGTTAGGACAGGTAGAGGAAAAAAGACGCTGTGCTAGGAGGAGACTCTATGGTTGGGGAACTGGACTTCCAGTCCGCTTCAGAATTGAACAGGGGTCTTCTGGCTAGGAACTTTGAGTGTTTTAAGGTTGCCAACCCCTGACCTATACCATTTCACACCAATGGTTGTCCAATCTCTTCTTGAAAACCTCCAGTGTTTGGAGCACCTACAACTTCTGGAAGCAAGTTGTTATACCGATAAATTGTTCTCACTTGTCCGGAAGTCTCTCCTTCATTCCAGGTTGCTTCTCTCCTTGATTAGTTTCCATCCATTGTTTCTTGTCCTGCCCTCAGGTGTTTTGGAAAACAAGTGGACCCCCCCATCTTTGACGCGGCCGCTCAAATATTGGAAGATTGCTATGTTGCTTTTGGAGCAGTTCCCCCCCCCCTTTCTACCCCTTTCTGTTTCCGCACACAAGGTGAGTGGGAGGAGAAGGACCTCTGAGTCTTGCATGGCAAGAATAGTAGAGAAAGCTTCATGCCATGAGATGCCCCAAGGTGGAAATCTTAGCGGTTGACCAGTTCCTCTTCAGTGGTTGGGCTGGCTAAGGAGCTGGCCATGGTGCTGAGAGCATCAGGCAGGAAGGCCCAACCTGGTACATATAGATCGGATCAAATGACATTTGCCTTTGGATTTTCATATAGCAAATATTCCATTCTCCCAGAGTGTGCTTTTATTTTATTTTTTATTTTTTGGATGATACATTTTTTGGTTTTGTCACAAATCTGCTGGAAGGTTTCTGTTCTGGTAATTTTTCTCATTCCTGCTGTTTGCTCCCTAAGCTGATGCTTCTATGCATTTCCACTTGCCTGTGGATCTTCCACTTCAGTGGAACACATTAACATTTTTTTTTTTTGAAAGGAATGCCTTGGAGCAGATGTTAACTGAGCTTGGAAGGAAGGACTCTGTTCTCCATTACGTAGAAGCTTCTTCTTTTTTTGTGCACAAAACGTACATATGTTTCATGTAGACACACAGGAAGGCATGTTACGGTACATAATAGTAACATAGTAAATATAATAATAATGAACCCTCAAGGCGTGGTTTTCTCAGTGGGCCTCAGAGCAGATCAAGTGGCTTGTTGCTGCCATGGAGGGGAGGGGGGGTTGCTTCTAAAGTCTTTATACTGTTTATTTGTAATGCTGCATGCTACCCAGAATCCCTATGTGGTGGTTATTAAATAAATAAATAATACAACAATACTGTGTATCCCAATACCCCCATTCTCCCCAAAATAAGACCTCCCTAGATGATAATCCCAATCGGGCTTTTGAGCGCTCCCCCCCCCAAAAATAAGCCCTCCATGAAAATATTGCAACACAGCAGCAGCCATTAGGTGACCACGCTCGCCNCAGGGACAACTCTCTAGGCTCTGTTTTGAATCCAGGTTTGGTTGAGTTCTCAGATGCCATGTGGTGAGTTGGGTAAAGGGCCAATATTATCATGCCTTAATCCCATCCCCCTGGAGCTGAAGGGGAAAACTCTTTATTATGTAAAGGGACTGGCTTGGCCATCTTAATGACCCATTGACAAAGGGGGTGGGGGCAGGAAGCTGCAGGGAGCTATTCTCTCTTTAAAAATGTTTCTTCCTTTTCACATCCAGGGAAATATAATATTCTGCCATTTCAATATTTCCTAGGATATTTCATTTTTCTGGGAGAGGGTTGGGTGATAACTTTGCACAAATTAAAATGACATCCATTTGATTAGCATTCATATAATACAGGCATACTGACTGCACATTAGATGTGTATGTTCTATAAATCTATTTTCAGATATATAAATTTTTGTACAAAGCACTTGAATGAAATTCTAATTTCATTGATCTTACATGTAGTACATTCTTTAGATGTGAAGCTCATTTTGATATTTAGTAGGAAAACAGCCCTCTTTTAAGAAAATACATGAAGCTATTTTTCATTTTAAATGAAGAAGTAGTTTTGCATGTGTAAAATACACATCATCCCTCATGAAAGACATGCAGAGTTACTTAAATCTGTAACATACAGCTTTATTAAGACTGTTTGTAAGTCTTCAGTTTAAAGCTGAAGTTCAATTTCTAAACACAAATGAAGATCCCTGATTAAACCATTTAAACCTGACTGACAGAAATGACCAAATAATACCAATAAAGAATATTTGTAGCTCAGGATTGGAATGAGGGATCCTTGGCGCTCTCTGTGCTTGCTTGGTTTTTTGCAGACATTTCATTATCCTAACTAATTGCAATGATCTAATCCACATTGATTTTACTGAAGATACCATCAAAAGGGCACTACACAACCTAAAGCCATCTCTTTCTATTTGTCCTGATCAGTGGTGAAATCTAAAAAAATTCCCTACAGGTTCTGTGGGCGTGGCTTGGTGCGTGGCTTGGTGGTCATGTGACTGGGTAGGCATGGCCAAGTCAATGTCATTTTTTTGCCCTTATGACCTACAAAAAGAAAATATAGGAATTATTTTGTGCATTTAATACTTAAATAAGAATCATGAAGAATACTTATGTAAGAATACTTGTGTTTTAATCCTTGCTGGTAAAGGCTGCTACTGCAAAAGGAAGAAAAAGAGCTTTATTAGCTGAAGACCAGTGATGGGAGCAATGGTATCTTTCCCTGGGGGGCTCCGCAGAAGATCCCAAGACCGATGCCACACATCTGCCCTCTTTGGGGACAGACCCTCTTCGTCAAGTCCTCTTCAGAAGGACAAGGCCCCCCTGGTCCCCCTCACGTTCCTTGTCTTCCCGCCTCCGCGGATGGGCTTCCAGCCATGCAGAGCCTCGCCAACTCCCTGCCATTGGTCCTGCGGTTCGGGCCAGTGGCTTTGTTCCCACTCTCTCCCTGCCTGGTTCCTCTTTTTATATGCTTCCTGAAAGGTAGCCTCTAGTGGCCAAAAAGAGCCCACGCCATGGAAAACATATTGCCCAGAGCCCCTTCATTACATCACCCAGCAAGATTCAACCAAGCCTGGGACTCAAGACAACCTGCAAATTTACTCCTGCATGGCCAATCAGAATACATTTCTTTCACAGGGACAGGAAGCAAGTTCAAAGCCCAAGGGAGGGTATAAATCTCTTCCGCTCCCCCCTCTTTCTCCCATGTACTCAATTGCCCAAGATCTCAAGTATGCTTTTGTAATCTGATTTTGTGGAATTGAAAATGATTAAAAAGATCACTTACTATCTTGCCCATTTCCCAGGCTTTGACTGTTTTTGAAAGTACACACTTTTGAACTAAGGGACTTTTGGCCATCTTCCAAATCTGATTATTCAATGATATTTCTGGAGGGTAGAAGGAAAGCTGAAAAAAAATGTTTTTATTTGCTAAGCAGGGAATGTCACTACTGTTGATGCATTTTCCTTACCATCTGTTTTGTAGGCTGTTCATATTTTAGGTTGACTAACTTTTTAAAAAAAATGGTTATTTCTCTCACATTTGCATTCAGCTGTTGCTGA